ATGGAAGTTATAACACAGACTAAGTTAGGGAACCACTTGAAACACATCGAGGTTTGGAACCTCTGGAACACATTCACTAATGGGAAGGTCTGACCAACACAGATGGGGGGAAGGAGGGGAGTGGGAGGCGGGGGTACAGGGGAGGGAAGACTAGAAATAGTCAACAGTGCAACTGGAAACAGGGACCGACGAAGTAGAAGTTAAACGGTAGCCCCGACATGCCAACGAAACTTAACGGACAAAGACTTAGACCTAAGGGACGACTATGTGTATTACGCAATCTAACCAACAATTGTGACCCAGAAAATGCATAAGACTGAAAACACAGATCAAACGATGTACCTGTAACCGTATTATTCCTAATACAACGCAGCTCTAAGGATATCTCTGTCGACAAGGTAACCATTTTGTGACGAAGTGTCCCACGAAACCATCTGTAACTTTCGACAACATGTCCCCATTTCGCACCAATAATGTTCTAGTTTAACTTACTGCTGGGACAGTCCCATTCTTTGCAAACGAAAGTCTTGATATTGTCAACCGTCTTATCTTTGGGCGCTATGTACTTTAATTTTGCTAGTACCACCAAGTTTGTATGTCTCTCTACCATTGTTATATCCACAATGTATTGAGGTGTGTTTATATTTGAAAAACAATAAAAATTTAAATAAAAAAACAAAAAACAAAAAAAAACACTAACACGTTTCACCCCCAAATAGTGTTACAGTATCTTGGACACATCCTGTTTAAATAGAACAGGAATTTAAAAAAAAAAAACAGATGAGTCATGTGACCAACAATTACTTTGCATAAGAATTATATAAAATGGAATTTGCAATAAGAGGGTAAAGAGAGATTTTTTACTCTTTTATTGCAAATTGCATTTTATATAATTCTCAGTGGTTCTAAACTGCTGCCAATAATTTTCCACATAAAAACTTTTGGGGCACTCTCCCAATTGCCCCTATAGGGGTATTACAGTATTATTTATCTTTGTCACTATGTCTTGGGCATCTAAATGAACAAGGGATTCAAGATTTAGTAATATCCAGTAATGCGCAATTATGCATTCATTTTAGGTTGTGTTTTTTTTCCTTCTATCTTTGTATTCACTGCCCTTTAATAGGCAAGTTCCTCTTCCACATCTGAATCAGCTCCTGGTAACCCAAACCTTTGGGTTCTATGTACCGTAGGACAATAAAACTCGTGAATAAAGCTGCAGTATTTTAATGAGGTGCTGGCAGAACATTTACACATACAGGTGCCAATACCCTACATTGATGTGATCTCTCACTCACATGCAGTTAACTTTGGAATACAAAAGGGCTCACTAAACTGGATTCTATTGACCTGAAAAACAACTTTGCTAAATGAAACCCTAAAACTCACTCAACAATATTTCCAATTTTATTTTTAATATTTTGGCTTTCAGTTCATCAAAACTCATTGTATAGTGAATAAACCTATATGTTTGTTATAACCAAGTTCAACATTTGCAGCGGAGCTTCAGAAGCTGGGTATTATATCTCAGAAACGAATTGACTAAATAAATAATTATAATTAAAAAATACTTAATATGACTTTAAAATACATCCTCAGGAGAGCTGGTGGTAGAATGAAAACGGGTGCCCACCCATTCTGTTTTATTAATTGTATATAATGGCCACCCAGCATCCCCCTTACATGCTCCTCACCATTCTCACGTCCACAGACACGTTTATTCCTTTTGACACATTAATGCAATAACTGACACAAAGTATTAGCATCATTTCTGACACCAAGTACTGGAGTCAGAACTTATTCACGTTCCTTTTTAAATGGTTTAACAGTGATTGAGGCCACTTACTGCCTGGTCCTCTTTTCCTTTACTTATACTTAACTAGCCCAGAGATGAGGGGCAGTGATAGAGCAAGAGTGTCAGCTGACTGCTCTCAGCATTTTTTACTCCACCATAGGCATAATCTTGCATGAATAATAATGAACAATTTTTCCAAATTTCATTACTTAAATAGGCATTAAAACAACTTTAACTTACTTAAGCAGTATTGAGTATAGATCATGCCACAGTAGTTCCACTGCTCAATTATCTGTAATTTAGGAGCTAAATCGCTTTTGTTTCTGTTTATGCAGCCCTAGCCACACCTTCCCTGGCTGTGACTGACACAGCCTGCTTGAAACAAATGCTTTGATTTTCAATCAGAAGTTCACTTGCGGTAGAAGTTTGTATTTCCTGCCCTGTAAATCAAACTTTAATCACACACAGGATGCTCCTGCAACGTCTAAAAGGCTATTAACAAAGCTGGGGAGTAACATTGTAAATTAAACAGAATTTGCAATAAAAAAAAGTTTAAACATAAGATATCTCTTTTCAGGACGTTTTTAGGAAAGCTGCGTAAGTCACATGCTAGGAGGTGTGACTAGGGCTGGATCAACAAAGTGATTTCAATTCCAAATGGCAGAAAATTCAGCAGTGACACCTGCAGGAGCAAGTTCTCTACACCAAAACTGCTTTAATAAGCTAAAAGTTGTTTTTGTGCCTATGGTGTCCCTTAAATGAAGTCATTTGACAAAATTTGTACAAACCAAATTGATTTAATAATGAAACTTGGTTTGTCCAAAATATTTTTTTTATTTTGGGATAAATCAAAAAAAAAATTCAAAGACTTTATTTAAGCAGACGGCAGGTCAGACAGACAGATTTTGATCCAAAATCAACAATCTGATACATGCAACATGGAGAACCATTTTATATATCCATTTTAACAAAAGAGGAGAAAAAGAAACAAAGAGAAAGGGAGAACTGAAGAACCATAGATTTTTCCCCATGCACAAGTCTTAAAATCCACATTTCTTTTAGTCGAGCTATGAGAAATCCATTCCATATTCTATGTCTGCCCTCTAGTGGCAGATAATAATATAACTTTACAGGTATGAGATTAAAACAGGTAAATAAAAATACATTAACAGCCTATGTTACAGAACTCCATTTCATCTTAAGAATCAGTCTTAAAGGGGAAATATCATCACCTAAACGTAAGTGTAGAAAAGCAAGAGAGATGTAATGATAGCAAAGTATATTGAAAAAAATATTGCTTTAGCAGCAAGTGAATTAATAATAATTAAAGGGACACTCCAGTGCCAGGAAAACAAATCGTTTTCCTGGCACTTCAGGTCCCCTCTCCCTCCCACCCCCCATCCCATGTTGCTGAAGGGGTGAAAACCCCTTCAGTGACTTACCTGAGACATCGGTGGTGGTTTAGGGAAATTGATAATGCTTTCCTATGAGACTGGCTGAATGCGCACGCGCCTCTTGCCACGCATTCGCATTCAGCTGATGACGGGAAAGGAGGAGGAGAGTCCCCAGCGCTGAGGGAGCCCAGCGCTGGAAAAAAGCGTAAGGGATTAACCCCTTCCTCACCCTAGAGCCCAGCGGGAGGGGGACCCAGAGGGTGAGGGGGACCCAGGGACCCTCATAGAGGCAGGAAAATGAGTATGTTTTCCTGGCACTATAGTAGTCCTTTAAAATAATTCTTGCTAATTTACACCATGATCAGACTCTACCTAAGCTTTTGTCTGCATAGATTGATTAACCAGGTGATCTAAGGCAGTTGTCTAATGCCCAGAGGTCAAAGTGGACAGAGGCCTCTGGTGCCATGAAGAAACCTGGCTCTCGAGGGGAGGGGGCAAGTTACTAACCTGTTTAGGTCCCCGTTGGATCGTAATCCTTCTCTGCTGGTCTGTATGTACTAAATCCACTCCCATCCTACCTAGTCTCACTTTTTACCTCTTTTCTTTTCAACTATAGTATACACCTGCTGTAACTGATGTTTGGAGCTCACTTGGTATATCAGTGTGTATGTAGTGTTTAACCCCTTAGGGACCAAACTTCTGGAGTAAAAGGGAATCATGACATGTCACACATGTCATGTGTCCTTAAGGGGTTAATAGAAATACCAAACTTTATTACCTACCTTTTTATATGTTTACCATTTATTACAACACTCCAAAACCCAAGTGCATTTCATTTAATTAATGTATTTTTGTGATAACTACATTATTCTCCTGTAAACATTCATCAAAGCTTGTTTGGGTTAAAAATAAACCACAAAAGCAAAAACACTTTATAATAAAAATAAAACAAGAAGATATTTAGACACAACTATAAAATATTTATTCGGGCTAACAGAAAAATGTTAATGGCTAAATATACAAGGACACATAATATCACTTAAGGTTATTTTCAAACAAAAGATACAATTATTATAAAGGAGAAATAATGTACCATTATTAAGGACACTCCTCATGTAAATAAGAAAAAATACTTCCAGATAAAAACTGTATGGAACAAAGAAAGATAGTGTACCTCCAAGGGAACTAGGAGAATAAATAGTATGTATATGTAGAATATCTTTTATAGGGTGCAAGTCAACTTTCAGATTAAAAGGCTACACCATGATCAAAAATAATAAAAAGAAAAAAGAAATACATTTTATTGAATCAATATTATAAAAGCTAACAATAAACTCAAAAAGTGCTCTAAGTGCTCATGTACATAATGAGTGATATGACTGCAGGTATATAATAGGTTGATAGAATGGATTATTATCATACTGTGGTTGGCCACCAGTGTATATCAAAATATAGTAAGCTAATACACACTAGGTGGCACCACTCAAAGGATGTCCAAAATAATTCTGTCCACAATATTTGCTAGGAAAAAGTGTGTACGAAAATCTTAAGAAATAATCTGATATCAGTTTACACGTCTGTATGCTGATATCATAAACAAGGCGTCTGATTAGCATCCTAAGCATAATACCAAAGGTTTAATTAGATGCTCTGTACTACAAGGGTAGAGCTCATTTGTAATTGTAAATTAGAAAAATATAGTTGTTAGTGCTTTATTGAGCGTAATCCCAAAGGTGTGTTTACATTTTCCGTGCAGGGGAATATATGCTACTTGGGTAGCGCTCATAACAGTTATAAATCAGTATTGGTATCACGGTTGCAGCTAAATCAGCTACAGGACTGTGGGGGAATAGAAATAGCGATGTGGTTCTATGGTTAACCCCCTTTGCCTACAGGGGCACTTAACTCCATCCACCCTGCAGAGAAAGAAGACTAACAGATATAAGGTACTAAATAGGCTACCTGGCTGTGTACAAAGCATATAGCTAGAATATGCTTGATACATGGGGAGTAGAGAGCATAGGGGGGGGGGGAGAGAAAGTCGTTATTGGTGATGAAAGGAATAATCTGCCTAAGTTGTTATAGAAGATCAAGGTAACAAAGTGAAACTGAATTACCACCTCCCCTCCCCTGTGCCTTCGAGGGACCTGCCTCTGTTCCCCGTTCAGAATTAAGTACACTGCAACATACCCTAAAAGAACATAATAACTAAGTGAAAAAGTGTGATAAAAACATAGCGCAGTCGATGTTAAAGTTGCTGCATGTCTCTTAGTTGTCTAACATGGTAGAAAGACAGCACAACCAAGACCCCTGACACACGTATTTCGCCCGACCTGGCTCATCAGAGGGGAACCGGCCGGTAGTGAACACTAAGTTTAAAAGGTAGGGGGTGACATCTGATTGGCTCAATGTGAAAGTTTCTCATTGGGCAATAGGGATTCACTGACGTCATACTCCTCCTCCCTTGGGAGGGGAATCCTGTCCATATTAAATTTAACCCCTTCAAAATAATCCTCAAGATTAAATATGGTTTTCTAGTACTTTTGTAGTTTATTTAAATAGTAGTGTTATTTATAGCCATAATAAACACAAGTGTAGATGCAATTAGACTTGATTAAGAGTATCTAATCTTGTTTTAGAATGATACTAATGTTGTGTTTCTGAGTAATGTAATTATGGGAAATTTATATTAGCCCCAATGAGGCTAATTACCCCTTAGCTTATTTGTAGGATTTTAAGTGCGTTGCTCTGAGAACTTTTTTAAAACTTAAAATGTTTGAATTAGGGGAGACTGGTAAGTATTAGGGATATATCTCTTCATAACCAAATGAGTAGTTTGTAGAGAGAGCCCTTTCTGAACCATAAATAAAAAAAAAAATGATGAAAGGATGATGAAGGAATGGATGATAATATTTAGATGAGACACAGATATCTACTTCGTTGTATATGGTGTCTAAAGTATGATAAAATATTTCAATCACACTAACGTACCCACTGAGTTGTACCTAGATTTTGGATGATAATAGCTATGCTGATCCTCGCTATGTTTGATTCAAATGGATCTTTTCAAGGAATGATAGAAAAAAATATTTTTGTCTAAATGGCGACGTACTCGAAAAGACAAGTGGATTTGAAAGTATCACTCTTTTCTTTGAGATATATTGTATATTTGGAAATAATATATGTCTTGAAACAATTTGTAACTAAAATTGGTTACATGTATTTGTATGTAGAAGTATCTTCCCATAAGTATAGTAACATGAAAGTATTTTAGGAATTAAAAAGGAGAAATAGTGAATAGAGGTAGCCAGTAAGGAAAAAGGATGGGAATTAGTGGATGATGTTATCCCTTAAGGGTATTGCCAGATAGAGTTAAAATGTTTATATTTCTTATAGTATTTTTAATGACAGATATAATAAGTATAGGCTGCTGGCAATTATATGATATCTAATCATATGAATAGATGTTCCTGGAGTATGAACAGTGTAGGACCAGACAAATTTGAGAATTCCTAAATTCAATGTTGATCAAGTGGATTAAGTTATTTATGAATGAAGGGTGTAAAATTAAATTCCTCATTGAGGCCTTCTGGAGTTAGTGTTTTAAACTGGTAAAATCACCTTGATTCTTTCATTAAGAGAATTTTTTTAAAATTACCTTTCCTATAGTTCATAGTAAGCCTTTCTAGTGCCTGAAAGGTCAGGTGTGTGGGATCTCCATTGTGATGATTTCTAAATTGATTGGAAATTGGAGTAGATACATTGGGGTTTGTGATTGAACAGACGTGTTGTAAGATGCTTCGTGTTAGTTGTTGGTATGTTTTACCAATAAATTGAACCCGACAGCTACATGTTATCAGATAAACCACACGTACAGAGCCACAGTTAATGTACTCTTTGACCTTATGTTCCTTCTGAGTTCTTGTACTCACAACTGTTTTTGTAGGTTTGATGAATTTACAAGCCTTACAATGTCCACATTGAGATACTCCTGTTGTCTGTGTTAGTCATGTGGGTTGTGGTTTTATCGGTTCAATATGGCTGTGTACTAGGTGGTCCCTCAGATTCTTGCATCTGCGTGCTGGAATACTGGGAAACTTACAAATGTTTCCCTGCAGATCCATATTATGTTGTAAGATCGGCCAATTATGGGACATAACTTTTAACATTGGGTCCCAATATTGGTCGTATGTGCCCACAAATCTCATTAATTTTTGTTCCACCTTAGGTCTCGTGGCTCTCAAACTGTCTCTTCTGTTTTTCCTTTCTTCTTCCAGATAAAAATACTTATATCTTACATGATAAGAAATGGCACCCACTCGTACCTTAAAACTCATGGGCATTATTATGACATTTATTTGCCCTTTGCTGTTAAAACAGCATTTGCTCTTGTGAAAAGACTTTTCACTAGATATCAATATATTACTTAAATGAAGACTCTGGAACCATTCATTGAAATTAAATTGTTATGGTGCCAGGAGGTCCCTGGTGCTGGCTCACCTAAAGGGGTTACACCGTTCTTTAACAGTTTAATCCCTCAAGCCAGCGCCAGGTACCTCCTGGAACCATAACAACTTAACTTTGATTAAGTTTTTATAATACAGTGTTTTAGCTTTGAATAATATCCTATTATGCATTATTCTTAAACTCCCCTCCCCCTTAAAAGATGCTTGAAAGTGTTTTCAAATAATTTTTACGTAACGTACCTTAATTCAACGCCAGGCGAAGCTCCCAGAGCTACTCACCCCTTGTGACATCAAGGCAGCCAAGCGAAGGTTAGATCAAAGACTTCTTATATAGAAGCCTTTGATTGGATCATTTAACTGGCTCAGAGCACATGCACACGCTCTGAGCCAGCAGTGGGAAGGGGAGAGGGGGAAAGGAGGAGGGAGGGATGAAAAAAACATATTAGTTGAAGGCATAGGGAAGAAGCCATCACCACTATATTATGCTCTATCCATAACACAGTGAGAGGAGATAGATGTCTCTCCTGTAGCCCAAAATCAGTGTTGGTGGTTTAATAATTAAAAAAAAAAGTCATATTTTTGCAATTTACTTGTGCTCATTTTTTCGGTTTCCATAATGTTGTTATTTCTGTAGAATAGTGGAAATTTCCAGATACTTGAAAATGTTTTTATGTCTTTAGACTATATATCGCATTTTAGTGTTCTACTATTCAACCCATGCCTACACACAAGGGCGGCATAAAATAGAAAAGACAGATAAGCAAAGAGGCAAAGTATAAAGGTATAATGAGAGACTGGCCTAGTCTGTTTATTGAATACTCTGCCCACTAATTACTGTAATTACTGTATTATTATTACAATTTATAAAGCACCAACATATCCAAATAGTGAAGAGGTCTAATGAGCAATTATATAAAGCAGTGGTTCCCAAACCAGTCCTTATGGCCCACCAACAATCCATTATTTTTGTATTTCCCTTTTATATTTCAGTGGAGATACTGACAAAACCTGGAACATTGGTGGGTATGGAGGACTGGTTTGGTGAACCACTGGTCTAGAGGGTATTATATGCTGACAGAACACCCTAGGTCGGGAAGGCAACTTTTTGCACTCCATGTGAACTACATCTCCCTTGATTCTTTGCCAGCATTACAACTGTAAGAGCATTATGAGAAATATAGTCCACAACATCTGGAGTGTCACAATTTGCCTACTGCATTTCTAGGATACACAATTAATATAATAATAATAATAATAAAATGATTTATTTGTGATAAAGATGGTTCTTGCTTGCTCTCACTTCTTTTCTCTCTCATTTGCCTTGTTGACCCCAACCCCTAAAGTTATAGGTAAATTAGGCACCTAAAAGAGCATGTCTGTCTTTTCTGTCGTCGAGAATCGAATGGTCCAATGGGTACTTAATAAGTGATGTCTGAAATCACTATAGAAGGAAGTGAAAGGTCTATACTCAGACTATATGTTTTTACACAAACATCACAATATGGTTACATGTTTGGTGGCTCACAACAGCCTTTTCTGACAGATCTCTTTAAGAAAAAAGATCAAAAAGTTCACTTTCTCAAAAAATTTAAATAAGTAGTCATACAATTTTACCACTAACAATATATATCTTTATTATTTTATAATCACAAATATTTTTTTGTATTCACAATTATTATCTTTTGGAACACTGCCCCAAGTGCTCCTATGGATGAGTCTCCATGGGTGATTTTGGACAGAGATGTAGAACCCATAGGTGGGCATTGTAAACATTCCGATAATGTGTTTATTTGATTCTCTGCTGCAAAGTGTTCCTGGAAACTTTTTGAAATATTGCCATTGTTTATTGATAATAACAGTTCAAATTTTAATTAGGAGATATTTCCATGAAAGCTCATCTTTCAACATATTGCTCTTGTTAGTGCACCCCTAGGTCCAGTAACACAAAGATTTAATACATGTAAGGGAACAAGAAGCACCATAATTTACATTAGCTGAAAAGCTGGCTCTTTTTCCCATGTGTGCATTTCATAATTTGCTGGAATAGTATTTTGTTTTGTTTATTTTTTTCAGTCCTCTAAGAAAAACTGTTTGACTGTTCACCCATCGATCATGGTCGTTCTCCAGTGTGACCAAAGAAGGTATGGTTTTTAAAAATACCGTTTGTTGCTCACTGCTCAGTCAATGAGTGTTTTAAGCGTTGCATCAGATAGTTCGTTCACCTTCATTATCTTTTCCAGGTACTCAATGTAACGGTTCCTGTCCTGGAGAAACTGTGGAATCCTTGCATTTTCAAGCACAGCAAGACTTTTAAGACGTTCTATGTCTTCATAAGAAACCTTCAATAAAAATGTATATTATGTTTTTCTACAAGCAAAAATAGGTTTAATTACTTATATTCTATCAAAAATCAAAGTTACTGGTATGTTTAAAGGAACACTCCAAGCACCATAACCAATTCAGCACCCCATAGTGGTTATGGTGCCAGGAGAGCCCTGTTTGACTTTTGCCAGGTGCCACTCCTCACCTCCAATACTTTGGTCTGAGAGCCAGAAGCTTTTAAGCAATGCAGAACTAGTTCACTGGCTGAGTGCGACAAGCTGATTTTCTCAAACAATTAACTAGTTCCGTACTACAGGGCATACTTCCGCAGAGCTAACAAATGCTTCTGCTTAAGAGCTTCTGGGGTTTTTCAATAAGCCAATCAGCCAATCAGCAGCCCCCCCAGTCCGAGGTTCCCTGTTTGAAGAATCTGAGAGAAGCATACGGACAGGGGCAAAGTTAAATTGCGCTGGAGAGAAGATTAATCCCTAAATGTAATCTGGAGCCCGGGACCTCCTGGCATCATAACAACTTCATTATGATGAAGTTGCTATGGTGCCCGGAGTATTTCTTTAATCAACGATTTTAACATATGTTTTGGTTTTCTTGACTTTTTAAACAGTGAAACGTGAGTTTAAAAGCTACACCAGTGTTTTCTGGTTGGAATTCATCTTCCCCAACCAACCCACCAGTTGCTACATCCATGATTAGAAAGGCTATGAAAATGACTTCTTAATTACTGTGTGTTTCTATATGACAATATAAAATGGAGGCAGATTGCTAAAAAAAAAAAGAAAAGAAATAAAAATTTACTCATTTGTTTTGAAATTACAAAACAGATGTAGAGAAGCTAAAAGTTCCAGTAATATTTGTAACTACTATCACCATTAGAAAGGTAAGAAGAAAAGATTGGGTAGAAGATAATTCAAAAAGTTGAAAGGTTGATCATATGGACACTTGAAGTCCTTTCATTGACATAAATGCTGTATTAAAGGGGAAATGTCACTTGGAAATTGAATAAAATTGGGTAAAATGAAATAAAAAATGGACAATTACATATAACTTTTTTTCATGCAATGTTCTCTTTTCTTTTAAATGTATTTACAAAATGTAGTAAATGACACAATCACAATGGAGTTGAGTCCAGGCACAGCCAGGGGACGCGCTGCAAATGATGAGGAGAAATAGAAACATGTTTTGTTCCTCCTCTTGTCTGCATGCTCTCTCTCTCTGTCAGGGTTATTTACTACAGTGAGAATTCAATGTGAGTTGAAAATTTCACATTCTAGGTCAAAGACGCCAAACTTAAAGCATAGCTGACTTAGAGAATTTTTCCAGTTTGGCTATCCTGCCCTGAAATGTGAAATTCACTTTGAATCCACTCTCAGTACTCACTTTATTGAATAACCCTGTCTTCTATGTCGACTGCCAGTGCAAAGGCCTGAGCTTATAACAGTGATTGACAAGGCACTAATATGGAAATGATGGAAATGCCCTGTTGCAGAATAAAGAGGTGTTAATTTCTATATTTCATTTTATTTTTCACACATCACAAATACATATTAATTACATTTTGTTAAATATAAGGGAGTAGTAAACATAAAATAAAAAAAATCCTAGGAAGTGAAAGTTTCCCTTTTAAGCCAAGGATTCTGGGAACATTAATATCTACTGCAATGGCAGATACATACATAGACACTTTTTTCTTTATGACTAATACAGTTTTGTTACCGTTGATTATTCATCTGAATTCTAGTAAAGAGATTGTAGTATTTATAAAATTATATTTTGGTTAAAGGAACATTCCAAGCACCATAATCATTAAGCCCTCTGTAGTGGTTATAGTGCAAGGAGTGATCTGGCCAGGGTAATTACTGATTAGTCAAAATATGTGCAAATGATTTAGGGTCCACCCACAGCCAGCTGTTTCCTCCTGTACCCCTGGAAGCTAGGCCCAGCAGTGCAGTGCGCTCATCTGTCACGCTCCATCAAAGAGCCTGCCCCAGAGGTAACAGTGTAAATGTGGCAAACCCCAAGTAAGGTGCTTCAGACCCAGAGAGGGCACCAAAGTATTCAGAGCACCATAATCACTATAGTGGACTATTGTGGTTATGATGCTTGGAGTACTTTAAAATGTGCATTCCGCTTACCTTTCCCATTGATGTTAGAAGTTGGAAATCTATTGAATGCCTATGTCTTAGGATCTGTAGAATTCCATCAAGGTAAACTTGATCCTTGCTGAAGCAACCTGTAAGAGATAAAAAGAGACATGGATAAAATAAACATTAAACTAGCATAGTTTTTAGAAAACCATGTATTTACTTGAGTAATTTACTGGTCATAGGTTTTTTTTTAGATCATATAACATTTGTTATGTTTCTTTTGCATTTAATTTAAAACATATGTAGCTAGTTCCACAAAGTCTCGGTGCTTTTCACACTCATCTATAGATAAGGATGCCCACCACCGACGGTCTCCTCCTGTTAACCTGGAAGCTCTCAGGCAGTGCAAGGTTTAGCTCTCTGGCTGAGTGTGCTCATCTGTCACTCTCCACCAAAGAGACTGTCCCAGAGGTAACAATGTGACCCAAGTAAGTTGGTACTTACCCCGAGAAGAAAAAATAGGCAACGTAAGGATACATTTCATTGTGTGCAGTCTACAGTTTGTTCTAAACCTGTGATCTGTGAGGTTATGAGTTACAAAGTTACTAAACTAAACACACAAATGAAATAATGTTCATTGTAATATAAGTACATATGTGAATGTGGAATCTTCAGGTGTTGCCGTTATTTTAACATGGGATAAGGCGTGAAAGAAGTTTGTCCAGAGCAACCTCATACCATAGGAAAATTATATTCATTAAATGGACACTGTAGTCACCAGAACAACTACAGATTAATGTAGTGGTTCTGATGTCAACTGAATGTCCTTGCAGGCATTTTAGAACTATAGTAACAGAAGTACACATTTGTATTCCTGACACTATAGTGTTCCTTTAAAGTGCACAATGCACAGTGGCATGCAACTAAACAAGCTGTACTGCCAAAATTCACAAGGCTTTCTGTCATTGATTTTGGCCTGTCTTTTTATGTGTACGTACAGTGTGTACTTGTTGGAATTAAACCTTTTTTTTTTTCAATAACTGGATCAAGAAATGATTTTCCCTTTAGAGAGATCTAGTTCTAGATGCATTAGCATCTGGTATAAGTACAGTTCTTAGTATTTTGCTGTAATATATATATATATATATATATATATATATATATATAGAGAGAGAGAGAGAGAGAGAGATATGTATAATGTATTATTTGAGCTTTTCAGCTCATGATCTCCAGTAGTTGGTTGTGTTTACCTGGCTGGGATGTGTCAGTCCAGCCCCTCTTGGCTCGTACACAATAATCCCACCTGGTGTTTGGGTCTTTGACAAATTTTCTCAACTCTTGAAAGAGTTCACTGAAGGACATACAGCTTGCCTGGTACACGGTATAGTAGAGAAGAGCAGCCCGCCACAAATAGGGATCCTTGCGAAACAAGACACTGTGTATACTTGCAAGTCCTTCTTCTGTTGGGTTTACTGGTTTCAATCCATACTTCTTACGTCCACTGCTGTTATTCCACAGTTGCCGAATGTTATTCATTCCTCGAAAATAATGAGTTCCTATGTGAATAAAAAGATATATCTTTAATATGTGCTCTAGATCAAAAAGCATTTTCTCAAACCCATAAAACAAGAATCAATGTAGCGAATGTTAATCATTTTTAGAACATAAAATGTTTAAATAAACATACTAAATACACTGAAATACTTTGCATTATTTTGGTTTGTATTTTTTTGAATATGCCAAGTAGGTTTTTTTTTAATCATATTTTCAATGGATTTGCCCATTGCATTTCTGTGATTGTTATTCTCAATTAGGTTATTTGAGCATACATATTTAAATTCTGTTATCTATTGAAGACAATTCTGTATTTATTATTACAACCCCTGAAGGATTGCATCTGATTGACATTCATAAATGCTATAATGCTGGCGAAAGAAAATTCTATAGATATAACAGTTTATGTATAAAATATTTTATAGAAAATCATCATTATATTGAGAGTAACCACAGTACCTATCTCATGTCTCAGTATCCCTTCCAGCCACTGTTCTCTTGCTGCAGAGACATTGATTGTCAATGTTGGTCGCCCATTCACGAATGTCATAGATGCCCGAGAAAGCAAATCTTCAGTAAGATGAACAACAATCTAAGATCAGTCAAAATGTCATTATTACCTTGTTACCATTGTTCCAAAGATAATGCAGCATAAAGAAATTTAGTTAACAAAAGTGATGATGTTGATGATGGTATTATTTGATTCCTATTAGTTAACCACAATTACCAGGTTTTGACCAATATACACATAAAATATATGTGTAGATTTTTTGATGACTGCTTTATATTTACCATGTTACAAAAATGCAGATAGGAGCCGCACTCAATCCCAGCAAGCACCTGGTGTACTGGAACAGGACCAGCAATCCCACAACGAACTCTTGGCAGGTCGAAACATTGTTGTTCTTTTTTGTACCATTAAATCTGCCTGCGACTTGAACACCCTGAGTGCCTAGAGATTTTCTTTTTGATGCTTTATATCTACCATCTGCTAGAAGTAATGTTACAATATTTTCCATCTGGAAAGTGTAGAATAGACATAACCAGAGATAGCATGTTCCCTCTGATGTTTTCACTATTAATAAGCCCTCGTATATGGTATAGTAAAAGTATACCAGTTATACATACCTCGCCTTGGCAACCTTCTTTCTCCATGTATTTCCGCACCTGATGATATATACGACTCTTTGGGAGAAGACTGCCTCCTGTAGCTTGCTCAAATCTCTCATAATTTCCATATTTCTCTATTGCCTTCTCCATAATATTAATGGCCTGAAACAAACAAACAAAAAATATATAAATAAAGTAATAAACTAGCTACAGGTCAGTAATTTAGCTGACTGAGCTTGATTATACATCATATTATATCAAAATAAATCTAACATAGACTGCGATTTAATATTGTTGGATGAGTTTTCCAAATTATTTAATATATTTGAATAAACTTTTCAAAATTATTAAAGCGACACTATAGGCACCCACAGTGCGGTATTTCGGTTTTGTGCTGCCCTAGGTATGACTAAACTCGCTCACGACATAATCTAAATATGCCCCTCCACTTCCTGTTTAAGACAACGCTTTCCTCTATAAATTCCACCCCTTCCTCTTTAGGTTCCAACTTTTCCTCTTACAGCTCCACCTCTTCCTCTCTGTACATTAAAATTGGATAACGACTGCCTATATTTTGTTGTTTTGTGTGCTAATTCAAATGTTGTACCTGTTACTTTAAGAAATACTCTTTAACTAAAATAATGAAAAGTGTAAAATGGAACTATTTTTAAAGATCAGTCATCCCTGTCAACTATACTATGTAGATCACAGACAGTCTCCCTGCATGTGTAAAATAAAATAAAAAATTAAAGTTAATGTTAATTAATATATATATATATATATATATATATATGTGTGTATATACATATATATGATATATAGACATATATCTATATAATATATGTCTTTATATCATATATATAATATCATACTAAGTGTATTTTTATATTAATATGTACGTATATTAATATAAAAATACACTTATAATTAAATTACACACGTATATATATATAATATATATAATAACTATATTTATTGTATATAAATATGATTATAAAATACAAATAATAAGTAATTACATTTAAATTAAAAAATGTAAAAATAATAATAAATTTTTTTTAAAATTATATATCTATATGACATTTTATTCTAACTGTATTTTGATATTAATATATATATTTATATCAAAATACACTTAGAATGAAATTGTATATATCTATGTATATATAAATAAATAAAAATAATACAAAATATACATATGTCCATATACAAAATTACATAAATAATTATATAAATATACACGTGGACTTCAAATATAGAAATATGCTTATATATTTAAATTCTACGTGCGTATTTATGTAATATTTTTAAATAATTAAGTAATTTTATTGATTACAATTTGAGGAACCTGCCTGACAACCCAGGCCGAAAGTCCAGAGAATTTAATTTGCTAGCACTGTATTTTACCCTGTAACGTTCTACAACACCCTAAAACCTCTACATGGGGGCTACTGTTTTACTCGGGAGACTTCGCTGAACAAATATTAGTGATTCAAAACAGTAAAACATATCACAGCGATGATATTGTCAGTGAAAGTGACTTTTTGTTGCATTTTTCACACACAAACAGCACTTTTACTGATGATATAATTGTTGTGATAAGTTTTCCTGTTTTGAAACACTAATATTTGTGTTCAGCAAAGTCTCCTGAGTATAACAGTACCCCCATGTACAGGTTTTATAGCGTTTTTGAAAGTTGCAGGGTCAAATATATGGGTCAAATATTTTTACATTGAAAATGGCCAGGTTGGTTACATTGCCTTTGAGAGCGTATGGTAGCCCAGGAATGAGAATTACCCCCATGATGGCATACCATTTGCAAAAGAAGACAACCCAAGGTATTGCAAATGGGGTATGTCCAGTCTTTTTTAGTAACCACTTAGTCACAAACACTGGCCAAAATTAGCGTTCAATTTAGTTTTTTACTTTTTTCACACACAAATATGAACACTAACTTTGGCCAGTGTTTGGAGTCTGGATATACACCATATTGAATACCCTGGGTTGTCTACTTTAAAAAAAAAAAATGTACATGTGGGGTGTTATTCAGAGATTTATGACAGATAATAGTGTTACAATGTCACTATTGATAAATTTTAAAAATGTATGTTTTGAAACCGCAATATCCTACTTGTACTTATAGCTCTATAACATGCAAAAAAAAGCAAAAAAGCATGTAAACACGTTTTTTTTTTAAACTCAGGACAAAATTTTGAATCTATTTAGCAGTTTTTTTCATTCGCTTTTGTAGATAAGTAAAAGATTTTTTACGTAAAAGTTAATTTTTTTTATTTTTTTCAATTTTTCATCATATTTTTTCATTTTTTTAAAATTAAATTACATGAGATTATATAAATAATGGTATTTAAAGAAAGCCCCTTTTGTCCTGAAAAAAAACAATATATAATTTGTATGGAAACAGTAAATGAGACAGCGGAAAATTACAGCTAAACACAAACACCACAAAAGTGTAAAAAGATGCCTGGTTGCAAATGTACAACATCGCAAAAACAGTCTGGTCCTTAAGGGGTTAACTAGTGAAATAAGAAGTTTTCCCTTTTTCCCAACCAAAATTTGTTGGGTCGGGACCTAGGGAAATTGGTCAGGATGGTGGTACCAGCTCCACCAGTATGGGTTTCATCATTAAATCGAAATAAAACTACAACGAAAAATTAGTGCATAGTTGAGTGCTCTAGTAAAGTGAGAGACATGCCGAGCTAAACCCGACTCGCGTTTCGGAGTTCAAAGACTCATTCGTCAGGGGCTAAACCTTGTCTCCCAAAAAAACGGGATTATTAAATGTATCTTGACCTATCAGCTTCAATGCCTTGTATGTCATCTGTGACGTTTCAAATGTGACGCAACTATGCACTTGAAGGGAATTCTCCCTCATTTTTCGTTGTAGTTTTATTTCGATTTAATGATCTAGGTTTTCAACTTGGAGACTATTTTATTGGTAGAGTTGATACAGGGATATTAGCTAACTATTTTCAGTGGCAGCGTTAGCTTAGAACACCCACAAAGGTGTTACTAGGAGAGCATAGGGAACAAGTATAGCGGTTTTTCAGCAGCACCCTATCATGCTACATTGTATCAACCGTTTGAATGCTCCATCCTGTAGGTCTTAACTAGTATGCAGAAGGATTCAATTACAGTTACCACTTTTTAGACATATTGTCTATATTTTTATCAATTAAGGTTTGGTAACTGATTTCTCAGTACCTCCAATTTGTATGAGGACTTCCACTTTACAACTAATAGGGCATCCCTTATTGGGTTATCAATAGTGATGTCCCGAACTGTTCGCCGAACGGTTTGCGAACGGTTCGCCACGAATGGTTCGCCTGTACCTCACAGTCAGAAGACACATTCCAGCCAATCAGCAGCAGACCCTCCCTCCCAGACCCTCCCACCTCCTGGACAGCATCCGTTGTGAAGCTGCATTCTTAGTGAGCTGTCCAGGAGGTAGGAGGGTCTGGGAGGGAGGGTCTGCTGCTGATTGGCTGGAATGTGTCTGCTGACTGTGAGGTACAGGGTCAAAGTTTACTCAATGATGAGTCCGCGGGGAATCGTTCATGGCGAAACGTTCGCGAACAGTTCGGCGAACAGTTCGGGACATCACTAGTTATCAATCCTCCTCTGACAAAATCAAGGAATGACATTGGAGTGAATAATCCCCTGTGCTCAATTTAAAGGGCTCTCACTGCATTTCTCAAAATTAACATTGCAACGAGTTGCCATTAGGTTTTTCCGTGCGCCACAATAGGGTGAATATCACTCACCAACACTACTATTTGGGTAAATTGTTACCATTGTATCCTTCAGAGGCAGAAGTTTAATAAAGTTTATTTTATTTTTAGGATACAAATCCGTACATTACCACATAAGTTAAGTGCTTGCTCCTTGTATATACATTCTTTACCTCTCTCTCTCCAACCAAGTAAATAACGTATCCTTTGATGTCATTATTGTGTTCTTTTTATATTTTTACCAGCTTTTTGGGAGCTCCCTTTTAGAGGGTTGTTCTCCCTTAGTAGTTTTTTTGTGTTTCTAATGGTTTTTTTCAACCCTTTCATGGATGGGGAAAACTGTGGGGCAATACATCTTTGTACTTCTAATACTAAAGTGTTCCTTTAAAATTTAGCATTTTGTAAAATTTTGATATATCAATATTTTTTAAATAGGTTTCATATTTTTATATTTTATTAAGTTGAAAAAAAATATTAAAAGTCTAAAAGTTTATTCAAAAATATTACATCATCTGGAAAGCTTATCCAGCAATATTAGAATGGAGGCCATAGACGTTACTCATCCAAATACCAGTGCTAGCAAAGGAAAGAATGAAAAAGAAAAACATTGCCCAACAATCAAAAAAACTAAATAATAAAACAGCCATCTGAGGAGTGCCCACTCAAGGTTTCCCTAGGCTTTCTCTGAAAAGGCAGTGTTTACTGCAAAAAGCCTGCAGGGACGGACTATACTCACCAGAACAACTGCATTAAGCTGTAGTTGTTCTGGTGACTGTAGTGTCCTTTTAAGGGAACTGTCAAGGCCACTGAGAAGGTCTGATAAGTTATTTCTCATCTGCTTCTCTGATGGTAAGTGACAAAAAAACATGATCATCTGCCAGTAGAGTTTTGCTTTGCTTAATGCTTATCATCTGTATACTAAATCTTGATAATTGTATTTTTCTTCTGACACAAGTATATTGGCATACCCATCTGCGTAAAAATCTTTTTTTCTTTTCACTGCAATAAGAATTGATTTATCGGTTAGCAAACTCCTGGACATTGTCAATTATTCTGCACCTGAGTAACCTAGTTCTGGAATTCTTTTGATTTATCAGGCTCTAATGTCCCTGGGCATTTTGTGGCAGTATTACTTAACTTTTGTATGCATGCATGCTTATTCATTCTGGCGCTTCACTGGAAAGCTGAAACCCTTCTTTTGTCTCAAGTTTAATGGTCTGGTAATCTCTCAAACTCTGTTTGAGTTCACGTTGCTTCAAATCACAACAACCTACTTAAGATCCAATGCTTGGATATTCTCCATCTCTGAACTATCATCCTCATTCACCCAATACCTGTATCTGCCTTTCACACACACTTACAAATTATAACATAAAATGTTTAAAGAATTAATAATTGGTTTGAATATGAATTCAGCAAGTAAAGCAAAAAGCGTGTTCACTGACTAATGATATTCTTTGTCAGCTAAATGAACTGGAAAAAATTATAGAAATCATAAAAAAAAATACTTTGTGCAAAAATAAATTGAGGATTAGTCATTAGTATCTCTCACTGCACCTGTGTGTTGTTATTATTATTATAATTATGAAATAAAAAAATATGAATAATAAGAAATATAAATTAACGCTACACAATAAGTTTTTAGAAAAAAATAAAAATGTGAAAATAGAAATGCTTTTAAACAACTTTTAAAAATTAAATACATGAACTTTCTTATTTCTAGTTACTTATATTGTTGTTTTTTAATAAACAAAACATTTTAAATCTTTTGATAACATGGCCCTTTGATATGTTTAATTCTCTTGTTTGGCTTTTTATTTTTGTTAATATTAAAAAAAAAAATAATATATCTGTACTTAACTTTTTTGACGATCATACAAAAGATCATTGAAGAATGTAGATGTATACAAACAATGATATAGCAATTGAGACATGGCGATGACCTTCAATTAACCTACTTAGTAATGCCAGATATTTATGTTAAGTCAATTAATTTCTAAAACAATAAATTGAAATTGAGAAATATTTTACATTTTATAATATGATAATACGTCATAGTCTGTTTCTATTTTAAGGCTGTTAGCAAACCGAATAATTCGAGAAAATCAGACATTAGGTTTTTACATGCCTAAATTAAAAAATATATATTTTTAAAGGGATGAAAATGAAATGAAATTAGAAAATAAATCCTGATGTTTGATGTGTTTCAATACATAAGTGATTGTTTTACAGACAATTCAAGTACAAAACAATATAAATATGTATACATCTAAAGTTTTCCAGAATGTTTACTTTTTTCTAAATTGCATTTTTTTAAAAAATATAAAATAATATAAATTAAGAATAGACTGCTAATAATGTTATTAAATATTATGAAAGTTAAACATCCTCTAAATGAAAAGTATATTGAAATCATTTTACAGACATTCTCTTGCTATCTTTTATTTTTGAGAAAATTTTAAATAAAGATGTGGCACAATTTAGTATCCGCTATGAAACAGAAAATTACCCAAATCTCCTAGAAGTATATTTCATTATAAATATAATTATTTAATATGTTGACAACATTCCAGTTTATTTAAAAATTAGATAATAAAGATAAAATGTTAACTTCATGAGATTTGTGTGTCTTACTGCGTTATAAAATATGCATTACACCATAAACTGCAGATGCATTCAAAACATTGCAGATAGGACAATGATGCCTCAGTTTCCTTCAAAGTAGCCGCCATGGGACCTTATCAGGTTCTACCAGCATCTCTTCCACTGTTTAATATACTCTGCAAAATCCTTTGTTGGAAACGCCATCAGTTGCCTTGTTGTATTTACCCTAATCTCATTGACGGTCTGAAATCTCTTCCTAAATGTGATTTTAGTTTTGGGAAAATCTGGAAATTGCAGGGCTCCAAATCTTTGAACAGATTCTCGACCATCTTTGAAGCACCTGTGCCACACTTTTATTTGCGCTGCACTCATTGCATCATCTCCGAAAACCTTCTGAATCATCTGAATAATTAGCAAGGAATGTTCAAGCTTAATCCAAACTTTGATGCGGATTTGTTGTTCTACTCGCTCAGTTATTTTGACCACACTGTACACATGCTCAGTCAACGGCATCCAGCACCCCCATTAACTAGTACAAGGAAGTTCATCATTGTTCATACATGCATATTCCAGTCCACTCTTCTTTGCTGCCAGGTTACATCAATCTCTAGAATGTAAGCTCATTGAGCAGGGGCCTCCACCTCTCTGTTCCTGTACCTCCAGTTGTCTGGTTACAATTACATGTCTGTTAGTCCACCCATTGTACAGCGCTATGGAATCTGATGGTGCTATATAAATAATAAAATAATAATCAATGTCGCTCAAACCGTTTTCGTTATATTAACAATGGCTTGACTTTTTCTGGACAGACCTCATACTCTACTAAGTTTCTTCTTATGTTTTGGCTTGTGGATTGTGAAGGAGGTGAAGAGATGTCATAGCATCATACTCCAATCACTCACACACAATTCTTTAGTAAATAAAAAAATAAAAAAAAGGAATTTAGGTCACACCCAGCAACGATGCTGCTGTAGAGACCAAAATGTATACAATATACAGATTAAGGAACAGTGCACACATAAAAATAGTTTTACATTTTATAAGACTACTAAAAATTGCCTATCTAAGCAAACAAATCAACATATTACCACTTTAATTGTTTAGTTTTGACACCGCATTCTTTTATATTGTGTTTTCTATCACATTATATTTTTATATATTCACAAAGCTTTAACAAAAGATTATTTAAATACACTTTAGCATATTTAGCGCTAGCATTATTTATTTGTCTCCCATGCTAGAATTAGTGCAGGACTCACTGATATTGGGGTGCTGTGAACCAGTGGTGGGCTTTACCCAATACGGCCATATGGTGGAACCTAATCCCCATATTTGTTTGCTGAGACAGGTAATTTTAAGTAGAATTTAAAGGACCACTATAGGCACCCAGACCACTTCAGCTTAATGAAGTGGTCTGGGTGTCAGGTCCACCTAGGATTAACCCTACCTGCTGTAAACATAGCAGTTTCAGAGAAACTACTATGTTTACAAATGGGTTAATCCAGCCTCTAGTGGCTGTCTCACTGACAGCCGCTAGAGGCACTTCCGCGCTTCTCACTGTGATTTTCACAGTGAGAAGATGCTGCCGTCCATAGGAAAGCATTGAGAATGCTTTCCTATGGACTGGCTGAATGCGCGTGCGCATTCAGCCGATGACGGGAAAGGAGGAGGAGAGTCCCCAGCGCCGAGGGAGCCCAGCGGTGGAGAAAAGGTAAGGGATTAACCCCTTCCTCACCCTAGAGCCCGGCTGGAGGCGGGCCCCGAGGGTGAGGGGGACCCAAGAACCCTATAGAGCAAGGAAAACGAGTTTGTTTTCCTGGCACTATAGTGGTCCTTTAAGAATGTATTTTTATGTGTGCACTGTTATGTATTCTGTATTAAAAATTATTGTGATAAAAAACATTCCACTGCATGTGACTCTATCTGTTGCCAGCCTGTGAACATTGTAGCTCAATAGTAAATACATGAAGCACCATGCATACAGATATACACTATTTTTAGTATTTGCTGAACATCTTCAGTTGCTGGTTAATTTAAAACCAGTGGCGTCTCTAGAATTCATTTTTAGGGGGGCACATGGTGGGCCAGGGACAAAAGTAGGGGGGCACATTTAACCCCGCCCACACCGCAGTTTGACCCTGCCCCATGTCAAGCCCCAGCCCCGACACAATGTGTTTTTGTTTTTTTTAATAATCCCTTGTTGAGGATTAATTATTTTCCACTAGGGATTATTAAAAAACAAACACATTTCCCTTGATACAGTGCCATAGTTGGCACTGTATCCATATACACAGTCCATATGCACACACACACATACACAGACTGCTGAGTCCATAAACACACACACACACACACACACAGACTGCTGAGTCCATACACACATAGACTGCTAAGTCCATACACACACACAGACACACACACAGACTGCTGAGTCCATACACACACATGCAGACTGCTGATTCCACACAGACTGCTGAGTCCATACACACATAAAGACTGCTGAGTCCATACACACACAAAAGCTTCCTCACTAGCAGACACACACACACACACACACACATACACAGACTGCTGAGTCCATAAACAGACACACAGACTGCTGAGTCCATACACACACACTGCTGAGTCCATACACGCACACAGACTGCTGAGTCTATACACACACAGACTGCTGAGTCCATACACACACACACGCAGACTGCTGATTCCACACAGACTGCTGAGTCCATACACACATAAAGACTGCTGAGTCCATACACACACACAGACTTCTGAGTCCATACACACACACACACACACACACAGACTGCTGAGTCCATACACACACAGACTGCTGAGTCCATACACACACACAGAAACACAGAGAGCTGAGTCCTTACACACACACATAGACTGCTGAGTCCACACACGCACACACACACACACACACAGACTGCTGAGTCCATACACACACACTGCTGAGTCCATACACACACACACAGAAACACATTCAGACTGCTGAGTCCATACACACATACAGACTGCTGAGTCCATACACACACAGACTGCTGAGTTCATACACACACACTGCTGAGTCCATACACACACATAGACTGCTAAGTCCATACACACACACTGCTGAGTCCATACACACACATAGACTGCTAATTCCATACACACACACAGACTGCTGAGTCCATACACACACAAAAGCTTCCTCACTAGCAGACACACACACACATACACATACTGCTGAGTCCATAGACAGACACACAGACTGCTGAGTCCATACACACACACTGCTGAGTCCATACACACACACAGACTGCTGAGTCCATACACGCACACAGACTGCTGAGTCCATACACACACACACAGACTGCTGAGTCCATACACACACACACACACACACACGCAGACTGCTGATTCCACACAGACTGCTGAGTCCATACACACATAAAGACTGCTGAGTCTATACACACACACATACTTCCGAGTCCATACACACACACACAGACTGCTGAGTCCATACACACACAGACACACAGAGTGCTGAGTCCATACACACACACAGACTGCTGAGTCCATACACACACACAGACTGCTGAGTTCACACACGCACACACACACACAGACTGCTGAGTCCATACACACACTGCTGAGTCCATACACACACACTGCTGAGTCCATACACACACACACAGACTGCTGAGTCCATACACGCACACAGACTGCTGAGTCCATACACACACAGACTGCTGAGTCCAGACACACACACAGACTGCTGAGTCCACACACACACACACACACACACACACAGACTGCTGAGGCCATACACACACAGACTGCTGAGTCCATACACACATAGCCTGTCAGTGCCACAGCATCTCTTCAAAGACAACAGCCAGCACTGCATTCCCTCAGGCTGTCACAGACTGTTACAGTCCGAGGGAATAGAATTGAAGCACATGGCCAGCAGCAAGTTGCCGGCATTTGGGGGGGCACAGCATGATGTAGTGGGGCCATGGCCCCCCTAGCGATGCCACTGTTTAAAACTAATCTCTTGACAAGGTGCCATGAACAGTGGGCATGATTATGCCCAGTATTGCACTGGTTAACCTGGTTATTCCTTGGTCTGTGTCACTGGCAAGAAATGAAACCCTTTGATCACAAAGTATTGCTGTGTATGTATAAATTGACACATTAACAGAGACCCACCCCCACCCCATCCACATCCAGATTTCTGTAATAAATCATTAGGGGCCCTAACAGATAGGAATCGAGTTATATAGTTACTTAGGCTTCAGCCTTTCTCACATATGTTTTTGGTGTTGATCCAAAACAAGGCAGAAAAATCAAATTTTAAGCATTTTCAATTTTACAACATACAAGGAAAGAATTCCTTCTTGACCCCAGAATGGTAGTCAGAGTTATCCTTGGATAAAAAGGCTATTACCCCACAATTAAAAAATTATATCCCTGAAAATTATGTTTTTGCAAGAATGTATCTAGTTGCTGTTTAAATGTATATAGAATATAGAATGCACACTATAACAATCTCAAAAAAAACTTTGCTTTATTATGTACAAAAAAGTACCAGAGTGAAAACATATAAAAAAAAGATAAACAAAGTGACAGAAGCAAGGGCAAACACAATAAAACAATAGTAAATTACCACAAAAATTCTTACAAGCCTCCAGACAGAAACACGAGTCACCAAACCCCCCCAACGTTTCGGCACCAACTGGCTGCCTTTATCAAGGGTACTGAGTCCATACACACACACACAGCAGCCAGTTGGTGCCGAAACGTTGGGGGGGTTTGGTGACTCGTGTTTCTGTCTGGAGGCTTGTAAGAATTTTTGTGGTAATTTACTATTGTTTTATTGTGTTTGCCCTTGCTTCTGTCACTTTGTTTATCCTTTTTTTTATATGTTTTCACTCTGGTACTTTTTTGTACATAATAAAGCAAAGTTTTTTTTGAGATTGTTATAGTGTGCATTCTATATTCTATATACATTTGAATATTTAAAGCACTTGAGGGAGTGTTTATATGGTTTGCACCTGGCTGTTCTTATACTATTTTGTCTCTCCATGTGCTGTTGTTTTGAGTCTAGTTGCTGTTTAAACATCCATACAGACTCTGATTAAAAACCTACTTCTTCAGGCAGAGAATTCCACATCCTTATTGTTCTTACTGTAAAATAACCTTTCCTTTGCTATAGACTAAATCTAATTTCTTTCTGTCTAAACATGTGATTTCATGTCTTATGTATAGCCTTGTTTATGAATAGATTTCCAGACAATGGTTTGTATTGGCCCAGAATATATTTGTATAATGTTATTACATACCTCTGAGGCGCAGTTTTTCTTTACAAAAGAGGTTAACATTAACAAGCTTGTATTTGTTTGTCATGAAGGATTTCCCATATGTTTATCAAAGTAATGTTCTCATTCCTACTCCAGCCCTACACTCTATGATTTAGCTACTGCTGAGTGGGGTGTGTGTCGTTACATCTATTGGTAGTTGTCGATACTACTCACAGTATCACTTGGTTAGTGGTTTACATTCTATTCAATTTGATGGGTTTGTGGCTTATGGCTCTCGTACCTTGGGCTTTCTACATGCTATCCATGTTCTGTGTGCTTCGTGTATGTGTGTTCGTGCGCCGAATTGTGTTGTCGCCATAAGTTCATACTCCCAATTTTGATCTATCTGCTTTATCAAGCCATCAATTGTGGGGGATATAGTTTTTTCCCATAGTCTGGATATCAGCAAGTTTGCTGATATGATAGTCTGGTATATTATGGTCCTAATGTGTTTCGGGATACCCCTTGGCAGCATGAACAGAACACATGTTTGTGGGCTATCCAACCTGGGTGTCGGTAGCATTTTAGTAGTAGTTGGGCTACCTCCTTCCAGAAGGTGCTGAGCGTAGCACAAGACCACCAAATGTGTAACAATGTTCCCACCCCTCTCCCACACCTCCAGCATTTGTTGCTGGTATTGGGCCACAGCTTGTGCAGTTTGTCCGGCACTAGGTACCAGCAGAACATTATTTTGCGTTGCAATTCTAGATGTGTATTGCATTCCGTGAGCCCCTGGTGTGCTGAGTAGGCTTTTTCCCATGTATCGTTTGGAATTGTCTGTCCCAGCTCTTGGTGCCATGCTGGTTTAATCTTGTCTAGCTTTTGTGTTTGGGATATGATCAGCTCCTGGTATCCACAGGATAGAGTCTTCATGAGTTTTGTGGTACCTACACAGTGTTTTTCGAAATACGTCATGTTTATCGTGTCCTCTGGGTCTTTTTCGTCACCTAATTTATCGGTCACGTATGACTTTAGTTGCATGTAGGAAAATGTGGTCTTAGTGGGCAATGCGTACTCTGCTTGAATGGCTGGGAGTGTTTTCAGGCGCCCCCTGTCAATTACCTGATACATGTGGTGTAGAACCCCCCTCGCCCATGTTTCCCACGGGAAGGTTGGGATCTCCAGCCCTATTGTTTGTATCAGCGTGGCCAGGGGGAGTGACTGCTTCGTCACCAGCTTGTCTCTCATTTTGTTCCATACTTGTAACAGGGTTTGGGTGCTGGGCAAGAGTTTGTCCTAGATGTGTCTGGGGCATTTTTGCTGCCATAGTATTGCTCGTAGATCCCTTCTGGGAGCCCAGTATGATTCTATGGTTACCCATTGTGGTGCATTGGTTGGGTGGTTTATTTGTGCTATGCTATGGAGATACGCTGCCCTATAATAGGCTGTCAGGTTCGGGTGGCCCAGTCCTCCTCTTCGCACTGTCTGTTGTAGAGTTCCCGCTGCTACTCTTGCTTTTTTCCCCTCCCATATAAAGGTGGTGATGATGTGTTGCATATTTTTTAGGAACTGTTTCGGTATAGGTATTTGTAGTGTACGGAAGAGATATTGGATTTTGGGTACAAGTGTAATTTTTACTTCCCCCTGCATACCTACATGGATTCTGTAAATTCCTTGTGTAAACGTACATAGTTGTGGTTGAATAGTTGAGTGTTTTTTTTTGTGAGTTTAAGTCCCAGAAACGTCAGGTAGTCATGTCTCCAGTCTAGGGAGAATGCCGTGACCAGTCTGGTCATAAGGCTTTCGTTTATGTGTATACTCTCTATCTCCTAAGGTGATGCCATGTATGGATGGTTCTGCCCGTATTGATGCTGCGAACGGTTACAATGCTAATATATATAGTAATGGGGACAGAGGGCATCCCTGCCTAGACCCATTGGTTATGGTGATTTGTTTGATAAAAATCCTGCATTGAGGACCTTTGCTGTGGGGTGTGAGTATAGTGCTCTTACCGCATTTATAAATGGTCGGGGAAATCTGTATTTCTGGAGCACCGCCTCGAGAAAAGACCAGTTAAGGCGATCAAAGGTCTTTTCGGCATCTAGTGAAAGCATTACTCCCTCCTCCTGGCCTCTATGCAGACTGTGCATGAGGTCGATCACTTTCCTCGTATTGTCCGATCCCTGCCTGCCCGTGGTAAAGCCCACCTGATCATCATGTATCAGTGTGGGAAGAATGTGTGTTAGCCTAGTTGCCTGAACTTTTGCGTATAATTTTGTGTCTGTATTGAGTAGTGATATTGGCCTGAAGTTTTGGCTACATGTGGGTGGTTTCTCTGGTTTAGGCAGTGTAATGATGTGGGCACCCAACATATCTGCCGGCGCTTCTGCTTTATGGGTTACAGCATTGAATAGGTTTACTAGGCGTGGTGCAAGGATGGTAGCAAATTTTTTATAGTATACATTAGTGAGCCCGTCAGGTCCTGGCGCTTTCCTGTTTGGGAGACGTGTAATGGCTTGGAGGACCTCTTCCTATGTGATAGGGACCCTTAGGCTCTCTATCTGTGCCTCATTTAGACATGCCAGGGATACTCCCTCTAAGTATCGTTCTATGTTCACTTGTGATGGCTGGGGGGTGGCTGGGTCCTGTCCCAAATTGTATAAGGTTGCGTAATAATCTGCAAAGACATCACATTTTCCCCTGTTGAGTTCAGGATATATGGGATTTTTGAGTGTTCGTTCCTGTGTGATAGTCTCCTAGCTAATAGTTTGCTCGCTCTGTTTCCCTGGGTGTAGTGTGTCGCCTTAAGTTTCCGCATGGTGAATCACAATTTTGCTAAGTCATACTTCTTAATCTCTTCTAATACTTCTATAATTTGTTCTTTTAGTTGTGGGGTCGGTGTTAGTTGGTTTTGTTTATTTACGTTGTACAGGGATGTCAGCCATCCTCTCCTTTTTGTTTGGGTTGCTCGTTTTAGTGCGATAGGAGTCCCCTTATTACCGGTTTGTGTGCTTGCCATTATGTTTCTGGCGTGATATCTGGTGTTTGGTTTGTGGCAAAATAGTGGTAGATGTCGTCTTTTTTTATTTTTATTTTTTTATTTTAATTCTTTATTTTTGCTGTGCGTGAAATAACATTCGTATGTCAACAATGCCGCAGCAGCATTTGCAAACAGTTGAAGAAAAAAACAAAAAACAACCACATATTCGTTAACTGCTGTACAGCATTCAGGTTATATGCACAATTTTTGGTTAGTAATACAGGCTAGGTACAAGCTGGGTAACTATGTTTGTCATAAGGAATTATTTTGTCGATTAATAACAGTAGTTTAAAAATAGTGTTTATGTAGAGTGTCGTTGCTTAATTAGCAAGATATATTCTGTCTCACTGTGGAGTCACTATGTTAAACTTAAGCGTGTGTACAGTCGCTTTTATGAGGTTAGTAGTTTAGTTAGGGTGCAAATACAATGAGAGAGTAGAATGGCATGTAGTGAACACATTAAGCTTAACCGTCTGAGTGTATTTCCAGTCGTGGTCATTTGGGTAAGCAGGTCAAACACTAAGCGTGAAGTCCTGAGACTAGCCCATCTGGATCGTGTTAGTTTATTTGGGCTTCTCGTTGTGTGTGCCTAGCAAGCGCGCGTCCCAGCGCCATCGTGAAACAAGGCTGGTATCTCTAGGTGCAGTCCCTGGGTTCCCAATCTGTAGTGTCAGTCCACTCCGGTGTTTGGTAGGCGCCTCTTGTGCCCCAGTGGTGACCTCCTGCGCCGTTTCGTTGGTCTGTGGCGGTGGTTATGGTGGCTTAGGTTCAGGCTGGATTATATAGGTTGTTTCTGGTTGGGTGGAGGGTGAGTGGCTTGTTGTTTCTGTCCCTCTGGCTTGTTTCAGGTAGTTCTAGGCTCTATTGGTCTCTGGGGGAATGCTTTATAAGGTTTGGTCAGTGGGGTTCCGCTTTGTGTATACCCCATTTCTCCCTGCTTGATTGATGCCCCTGGCCTGTACCTTGATTTGCCCAGTGTAGTTTACCAGCATAGCCTTGGGACGGGCTGCCATGGTGGTCTGACTGTTTCTCCTCAAGCAGTTCGATCTTACAGGCCTTTTGCGCACATGGCTGGCGGCGGCCATCTTGTGGAGCTTTGCCCAGTGGATTTCTCTGGCCAGGGCGGTTGTTTGGGCCCAGCTTAGGGTGGTGTGTGGTGCCCTTGCAGACTGGGATGACCCCCCCGGTCCAGGGGGGGGGGAGGAGCGACACGCCGGCCGGAGACCCGGGAGAGCGGCCGTCTCGTCCCGGCTCAAGCTCCAGCGAGAACTGGTCCCTTGTCGGGTTTCTGTCGGTGCCGAGTAGGGTCTTGGGCTTTATCCCCGCGTACTCCTGTGTTTGGGGGTCGGAGTAGTCACCGTTGTGGCGCTAAGTTTGCGGTTGGCCCCCAATTTGCTCCGATTTTCAGGCCCTGGAGCAGGAGCTCAGACAGAGCACGTCTGATCCCGTCGGCGGTCAAGCCCCGCCCCCTAGATGTCGTCTTTTAATTGGTTGCAGAATTGGGGATCTGTTAGTAAAGACTCATTGAGTCTCCACGGGCTGCGGTGTTTGTAATCGTACGCATCTTGTAGTTCTAGGGTTATTGGAGCGTGGTCCGACCATGTTATGGTGCCTATGGAGCAGTCTGTGAGTTGATTGAGGAAGGTGCCTTTTATACAAAACCCATCTACCCGCAAGTAAGTGTTGTGCACCTGAGAGAAGAAGGTATAATCCCTCTCCTCAGGGTGCTGCACCCTCCATGCGTCGTAAAAGTCGTGTTCCTTAAGCAGTCGTGTTAGTGGTTTGCATTCCCTCTTGAGGGTAGCTGATCTGGGAGTGTTGGGCTGCACCGTGGTGTCCCATCTGGGGTCAAGTATGTGGTTTAAGTCGCTGCAAATGATTGTGACGCCCCTCTGGACTGGTAGAAGTAGCATGATTACTTTGTGTAAAAAATTCCTCTGATTTGTGTTTGGAGCGTATATGTTGCCTATTGTGTGTTCTAGGTTATTGATTTCACATACTAGTATAATGTACGGATTCATATAGCAATTTAAAGGACACATCTTTGCTAATGACAATGGAGACCCCCTTAGTTTTGGACATAGAGGTACTGTGGAACTGTGTTGTGTATTGCGTCTGTGTTATGGCGATTGCTTTCTTGAGGTGGGTTTCCTGCAAACACACCACGTCAGGATGTTCTTTGCGCAGGTCTCTCATGAGGCAGTACCTTTTCACCGGTGTGTTCAGTCCTTTTATATTATGGCAGTATATTTTCATATTCTATGGGGTTATACTGAGGGTTGTTCGAGCTTTAAGACTAGTGTGTCGTTACTGTTATCTCTGGGTCCTGGCTTGTTGCCCACCTGCCCCTTTGCAGTATGTCCCTTGCATTTGTGAGCTGGATTTCCTCTTAGCGGTACTGGGATGTATGGTAGATCCCAGTGTGATCTCCCCTGATGATGCGCTACTTCTCCCTGATTCCTATGGTTCCCAACAATGAGGCTTACGTTGTAGTTTGGTACCTGTCTGGTGGTGTGGGTTAGGGTAAGAGGGAATACGGGTAAAGAAACAGTAATGCAACAATTATGCATAACATTTGAAGTGAACATTGTAAGATAAATAACAAACATTAGTTCAGTAACACGTTTTAACATTTCCCACTGAAGGGTGGGGCACCGGTTATACGCTTAAGATGAAAAAATGGTTTACGCTTAATATGAAAAAATAAAGTGTTACTAGATGAGCACGCTATCCCCAGTGCTCGCTATGGTTTAACTTGTGTGCAGCCGATAGCTGAAGTGCAAGAGATGTGGTGAGTGGAGGTTTGTACATGAGTGGAGTGTACAGTATAATCGAGATTTCATGGGTCTTGGCCCCTCTTGTCCCCTCTTTCTTCTTTTTTTTTTGTTCTTGTTAGTGTGTCTCGGTGAGTTCTTTTTAGGGATGCTAGGCATAGCGATATGCCATTTTAATAGTACAACTGTGTGCATTATGGAGTGATTGTGAAACTACATATATGTGTAGCGTGTGTCGGGTATACTTGCAACTCGGTGTCTGTTCCACTCCATCTAGTGTAACTATTATTCCGCATCTCATGCAGTTAGTCCGCGTTTCAGTAAATTTTTGGGGCCTTTTCCACTCCGGAGACAGTCTGTTTTGGACTGCATAGGTCTTCCCCTCTTGGGTTGGTGTCGTGCCCCAGCTGCGTAAGAGCCTGCGGCCTTCCTCCGGGGTGTTCACCGTAGTCACTGTGCCGTTTCTCCTAATCAGCAGGCGGATCAGGCATCCCCATCGGTACTGGATATTATTATTGCGTAGGGTTTCCGTAGTGTCCTTAAATTCTTTCCTTTTCTGTAGTGTAGCTGCTGATAAATCTGTGAATATTTTAATGTTTCAGAATTTTTGTGGCAGATCCCTGCCCGCTCTTGTGGCCTGAAGAATTGCCTCTTTCACATGAAAGTAGTGTAGGTGGGTAAGCACATCCCTTGGAGTATCTTGTGGCAGGAACGTTGGTTTTTGGACTCTGTGATACCTGTCTAGGATCAGTACCTCAGCTGGTAGGTCTGGTGCTATTTCTTTGAAGTACTCTATTAGATATGCGTGTAGGTCCTGTTGCTTCACCTCCTCCGGTATTTCCCGGATTCTCATTTTTGTCTCCGTGAGCGATCCTCCAAGTCCATAACTTTGTGCTGCGTCTGTTCCAGTTGCTGCTGCAGGCTCTGCGCTTGGTCTGCCATTTCATTATGTACAGATGCTTGCTCCTCCATATGCTGTTCAACCTGCGCAGTTCTGTCTCCCAGCTCCGGTATATCTTTATGAAGTTCCTTCAGAGTGCCTTGGATGGACGCCAGAATTTTGCTGGATATGTCTTCCAGGCAATTTTGTAAGAAGTCCTGGGTTACCGTAGGTTATGGGAGCCTGGGGAGGTCTGCAGCGGCAGTGTGTCGTTCCTGCCATCGCCATCTTGGTCCTGGTCTGTCAGGCCTGCAACTTTGGGCGTCTTTATCTATACTTCTACTTACTTCTTTCTATCTTCAATACAATTAAAGGAACACTATAGGCTCAGAAACACAAATTTGTATTCATGACCGTATAGCGTAAAAATACTATCTAGCCCCTCTGCCCTCCCTCTTTGCCCCAATAAATATAGTGAAATCTTACATTTATTCCAGTCTGCTGGTGCTGCCCCTGATCTACTTCCTTGGCTGACATAATTAGAAATGATTATCTCAACCAATCACATTGCTTTCCCATAGGAAAGCACTGAATTGGCTGAGATAGTCAATTCTGATGATCTCAGGCAAGGAGGCGGGTTGGGGCAGAGCCAAATGCCTCCCTGGCCATTAGCATCTCCTTATGGGCCCTGAGCTTTGTTTATATTAACTTTCTTTAGTTGCTGCAGCACCTTGTCCTGAATCATCCAATCACAATTGTTCTCCAAGTTTTTCGCATCAATCATTTGCATATCTCTAGCCATTGGTTCTTTCTTAAAGGAACACTATAATCACCAGAACAATTATAGCTTAATGTAGTGGTTCTGGCATCTATAGCCAGTCCCTGCAGGCTTTTTATAGTAAACACTGTCTTTTCGGAGAAAAGGAAGTGTTTACATTACAGCCTAGAGACACCTCCTTCTTATCAGTGCTTTGCACGTTATATAACAAACCATCATCTCAAATCCTTCACAAATTCCGTTCAACCTATATCTCACCCTGAGGCACCAGGCTCCCAGTTTACCAATTTCGCAAAAATGTGCCTTCAACTTGCCCCACAAACAAGGTGTTATTCATTATAATAATAATAAGTTATAGCTGCATAAATAGAATTGCTGCAGAAATGTCTTTGAGATTCATGGAAGCCTGGCATGGGGAGCTGGGTTATGAATTGTGCCAGGAGCAGTGGTCCAGAGCATCTAAAGCCCACAAAGATCTTACCACATGCTCTTCTCATCATAAAATGATACATAAGTGGTACCTATGTAACCAATATGGTTACAACACATTACCTCACAAAACACGACTTGCTGGAAAAGCAGGTCTGAAAGGAGCATAATGCTGCACATATAGTGGTCTTGCTCTTTAATCCATCTTTTTTGTAAGAGGGTGCAATAAATGAATTATTAAAACCCCTTCAGTGACTTACCTGAATCCAGCGCCGATGTCCCTCGGTGCTGAGTCAGGCTCCGCCCACGCTCCTCCTCCGCCGATGTCAGCATTTTCGTTTTTAATAACACGGAAGTCCCTCTAGTAGCTGTCTGATAGAGATGGAGGTAGAGGTTTTATAAAAACTGCAATAATTACACTTGCAGGATTAAGGGTGATGGGAGTTGGCACCCAGACCACTCCAATGGGCATAAGTGGTCTGGGTGCCTGGAGTGTCCCTTTAAGGTTGGATCAAGAACACTAACAAAGCTTTTGAGGTGTGACATACATTCTTTAATCCGAAGGAACACTACAAACTAATGTACTCCATCCAAAACAAGACACACAATTTTCAAATACAGCCCAAAAGGATATACAACTAACAATAAAACTGACAAATATGCGTAGCAAACTCAGCATCTCTGGCTCTTCTTATAATTTCTTTCTTTTAATTTGCTTATATTTTTTGTTCACCCTCTACTACTCTATTGTATGTATCAATATTTTTTTGTTATTTTGAAAAAAGTTTACTTTGTTGATGCCTAAACACTTCTGTTAAACAGCGGAAAGGACTAAGGGACAACCGATGAGACAATGTCACTCTCTTTATAATGTCTTCAATGTAATGTTTACTCGGTTTGCCTGGTAAAGTCATCGTAATATGTATGTAATTGTATATCTTTTTGTGCAATCTTTAAAACTGTATTTTGAAGAAAAAAAAAAGAAGAAAAAAAAAGAAACTAATTCTGGATTCACATACGTGTAGATACCTAATTAATAGTGTTTTTGATAACACAGATATTGGCTAAATTGTGTTTTGTGTTTTTTTTTTTTAATCTGATTATGGTGGGTAATCAAGATGACAATTTATAAATTACCTTGGTGGGCAGCTTTAATGGCAAGAAGATTAGAAATGATGAAACCAAAGAAACTAAAATATATAAAAAATAACAACGAGAAGTATCTACCTGTTGAAGAAATCTATCAGAAGCATGGCTGTGCTTGGCTAAGACACTTGGCAGAGCAGGGTTAGCATATTCGAACTGAGGATTGTAAGTAAACTGTGACTTGAAAAACTTCATCTTCTCTTTCTCCACGTTTGAAGGCTTAATGGCATTCAGTATGCAAAACTTCTTCCCCGAGATGTCTTCCTTTATTGGAGTTTTCATCACTCTGGATTCTTTCTCCTCAATCAAACTAGACAAATAATGTCTCCTCTTGGATTTTATTTTAGGTCTGTTTGTAAGCCTTACAATGCTCCCTGAAACTGAGATATTCTGTGAGTATTTAATACTGGAGTCTTTAGCATTGGAGATAAAACCCGATAGATTTCTTTTGGCACAAAAACAGTTTGGTGAGGGAACTCTGATTTTTTTGTGTTTCTTACTGCGTGATGAATTGGAAGTCTTGTTTGTCTTCCTGCTCTTTTTGTTCTGGCCCAAAATTGATTTCTTTGGAGATATCTGCCTTTTCTCCTCTTTTGTGCCCTGAATTAATACATTATAGTTACTTGTACCTGTTATAAATGTGTCCCTCAAAACACTCGCAGCCATTTCTTGCACATTTTGCCCAGTATCAAGGACTTTCTTTTCATTCATACTTAACACTGATTTCCTGGAATGTTCTTCCTTCAGCCAATAAAGCTTTTCTGCAAAACACAGAGCAAACATAGTTAGCGAGTTGTCAATAGATCTAAGCGAAAAATGGCTGCATGAAAAGTTCTAAAATATAATGAGCTATCAACTTTCTAAGAAATATAACTTTTTGTAATTAATTTTGATTTGTGGAATGTTGTTATGGTATCTATCAATCGCTGTGCTGCGTGATCGCAGCCATGATGTCACTTCCATGTTCCGAAGTGCAATTAATGAGCTGGAACGCTTCTATGTCCCTCTGTTTATATCATTAGTGATTATGGTGATTTTCGAGGATGTGTGCTTGGTAGCAAGCTAAAGATATCTTTTAAACTAACCAAACACTACACACTATTGAAGATATATACTTCTGGATTATCCTTGTTTCCTTGCCCTGTCATGGATTTTGATTACCTGAGACTGAGTGCGTTCCTATAGATATCCTGACCATGGCTTGAATTCTTATATTCTTTATTCTCGTTATTACAATTCTGTTACCCTTTGACCTCGGCTTGTCCACATTTATTCTTGGTCTGACATCTGTCACCTGCACCAGCCTGGCCACTTTAAGGACAGGTATACGCTTCCATGCTGTTTATACCTGGGTTTGTGTGTTAGGGTTATGTCAGTTATAAAAACTGCTAAACTGTCCCAAAATGAGACATATATATCCATATAGAGCATCGGTCTATACAAGGAAAAGAGATGTCAATAATGAGTTAGCTTTTTTCCTGTATCTGTTTTGGTAACATGATTAAGTTCAGAAGTGTGAAACATGGTTATAAAGGTGAAGAGATAATGTGAATATTCCAACAGAATGTGTAAATATTCAAACAGCCATATTGGGGCTATTGGGGCTTGAAAAACTAAATAAAAAACAATCAGCATTTGTTTCTGTGTTGGATCAAATTGACCATTGGGCATGAAGTTTCATGATAAATATGGTCGAAAGTATAGGAGAATTGGGCAATCTGACTCTGTAAGCAAAATCATGAAACATATGGAAACTTACCAAGAGCAGATGACCTTATCCCTGCTGCAGCCTTCAAAATGCTCACAATAGTATAAAACAAGAGACAGATTGACATACACTTTCAGTAAAGAAATAGACTGGCAACTAGTTCAAAGCCTACAATAAATCTAAAGGCTCCTATATATTCAAATGCATTTACGAGAAAAGCAACATATTAAGAATACCCACGGATGTTCTATTTTGAGTTACATTCAGAACATTGATGAGCTGTTCCTGCCATAGACAGGTACTTCTCATGAGCTGGAAACCGTGGTAGAACAACTAAATTAGTTGGATGGTAACATACAGTTTTGTTTTTTCATAGACAGTTGATTGAGTTTCTTCATCTCTCAATCCACCACACTGACTTCAGCTATACCCCTTTTAGAAAAATATGGATCATTATACCATACTTCATTACAAAACAGCCTCCACCCTAGGGTCCTGAATGATCCCTTTATTAAGCACAGTTTTATGATCGTTCTAAGGAATAAATTTGACATGCCAAATGGTTATTGACAGATTAAAGATATATGAAAATATTGTACCGCTAGGGGGTATTAAACTGTGTATTAACTAAAAGCACACATGAACTTTACAAATGCCACTCCAAAATATAATAAAGGAAATAAAAGGGTATGTTTCGAACAGACTAGTAATGTCTTGTCTAACATCAGAGTACATTTGGTTAGAAAAAAACTGACCTATTGTCACTGGTAGCCAATAGTCAGAGGTAGCCAAGCTTGACCTTTTTGTTCTACTTAATACTAAGATTTGGATATAAAAGAAATGTAAATTTATAGAACATTTTCGCATATAGAGACCAGAAAATTAGTTACCCTTCTCATGAAACTATTAAAGGGACACTGTAGGCACGCAGACCACTTAAGCTCATTGAAGTGGTCTGGGTACAGTGTCCCTATTGCCCATAGTACTGCAATGTTAAACAGAGAAACTGAAATGTTTACATTGCAGCACTAGATCGCCTCCAGTGGACGTCTACCAGACAGTCACTAGAGGGATTGCTGGATTGAAATGGACATTTGGTCTGGTATCTGACGCTGGACATCCTCACGCTCTGCATGAGGACCTCCAGTGTCAGATTTTTCCCTATAGGAAAGCAGTGATTAGCATTAGAGCCAGCTCGTCATGGGATGGAAAAGGAAGCAGAGTCGCAACCCAGTGCCGAGGGACATCGGCGCTGGGATCAGGTAAGTAAGTAAAGGTTGTTTAACCCTTTATTTACCAGGGTGGTAAATACAGCTTTGTATTCCTGGCACTATAGCACCACTTTAACAACCCAGGTTGTTACAACTTACAGCTGTGTAACCTGCAGTCAATATGGCTGGGGCTAAAAATTCTACCATCCACTCAGGGCATGTACATATAATAGGCCAATGCAATACATGTACATTACTTTTTTTATCTACAAGATTCAATGCCCATTCAGGTTCACTTATGTGTTGAAAATGAAACTCTGTCAGGGAAAAAGATCTGAAATCATTGGTTTTATATCCATACAGCCCCAAGGGAAGGTTTTTCGGAAAAACCAGTGGCACATCATTTTGTTAAAGCAGGATATCAACATCCCTTCCTCCAATGTGTTGCTATATTGAACAGATTCTGTTTACGGATAGAAGGGGTGAAAGGGCAAATGAGCTGTTATGCCATGAGGCATATTCGATTTTTACGTGGAATATGTTAGTCCCTTTCAGATGTAATTGAAGAAACACTTGTTATACGTTATCTCTCTACTTGATAACTGTTGTTGTTACGATGTAATTAACAGGGTTATTCACTATGGTGAGAATTCAAGGTTAATGCAAAGTAAATTTCAAATTTAAGGTCAAAATAACCAAACTGGAAAAACTCTCCAAGTTAGTTATGTTTTCAGTTTGGTACTCGGGCCTTAAATGTGCAATTTATGTGAATTCACTTTGTTCTCAATTTAGTTAGTAAGTCTGCGTGTGTAACCGTTTAACCAATATATCATACAGTATTATCTTTCTGCTGCTTTTACAGGTGTTTTTTTTTTTTTGGCTCTGCTTTATTAAATGAACACTATAGTGTCAGGAGCACAAACATGTATTCCTGACACTGTAGTGGTAAAATTACTACTTAGGTCCCCTTCCCCTCTCTTTACTTTAAAAAGATGAGTTTACTTACCTTTTTTTCCAGGGCCGCTTCACCACGCTCTGCCTCTGTGGCTGAGATAATTAATCTGACAATCTCAGCCAATCCAATGGTTTCCTTGGGAAAATATGGCGCATGCGCAGCAAATCACAGCACTGCCCCAATCATCATACCTTCATAGAGATACATTCAATCAATGCATCTCTATGGGGAACGTTCAGCTTCTACATGCCGAGCATGGAGATGCTGAATCTAGGAAGCACCTCTAGTGGCCGTCTGAGTGAATGCACCTAGAGGTGTTACTAGGTAAAGTGAAAAGATAATGTCTACATTAAAAAGCCTGAAGAGACAGACTATAGCCACCAGAACAACTACATTAAGCTGCAGTGGTTCTGGTGACTATAGTGTCCCTTTACTATTTCTTAGGTTGCTGCAATATAGTAAATATGTGTAACATGTTTAGCATACATTTTATACTATATCTTTTCCTTTTGCCGTGCACTTATGTTCCTGTATATTTTTTTCTGTTTTACTGGTACTTTTTATTCTATGTCTTTTTCTAGGGGATAAGTTGTTTACTATTGGGGAATTCGTATTGGCTCCCAGCAGCACCCTATTTATGCATGTTCAGGTGAGGGCAGCCAGCCCCCTGATTTCTCATTATATATATATATATATATATATATATATATATATATATATATTTGGGAGTCTAGCCAACTCCTTGGTTTTGCACCCCTCCCTGTCACAGGGGCCTCATCCCAGGGCCCTATTTAGCCTTGTACTGCATTTTTTTCCCCAAGTAAGTAGCTCATTTAGCAGACAGTTGGCTGTTAGAGTAGGACCTGCCAAAGATGGGGTACACTGACGTTGTGGCAGGCTAATGTAATGTATGATCATATAATGTAACCAAACCCACATTATTTTTGCCTAGAGTAGGTATTTAAAAAACGAACAAAATCTGTCAGCATCGAAGTTGCTGTTTAGTGGATAAGGGAGTGCGCTGGATTTTCTTTTTTTATTGAGGAATTCGTACAGTACTGTATCTTATCTACATGTGTTTTAGTACTTTACAATGAAGAAGTGTTTCCTCTTTCTGTTATATATATATATATATATATATATTGCTGGTTCATTCAGCACTTCCCATGCTATCACTCTGTATTCAGCACTATTCCTTCTATGCCTGGTCTAAACTATTGTGGAAATGGGGTTTATCAGTATTGTAGTGTTTGAATTGTACTGCATTTGTAGGTGTATTGATACTTTATTATGGAATATCTTTATCCTATGATACATGTGTGGTTAAGTGATCAATTTGACATATAACAGCTCTTGTTGCCATGTGTTGATATTTATCATTTCTGGGCTCTAGTTACTTGAGTAGGTGGCCCTATGGCTCTAGTTATGGCTGCAACTTCATTTTGGCGGAACATAATATATGTTTGCTCATTTTTTATATGTTGAAAGAAGTCCCAGGTGAGGACTAAAACATAGTTCCTTGAGTCTTGGACTTTACAAAATAAAAACCTTAAATAACATAACCAGAATGTCCACACGATCGTGCAAAAAAAATGAAAAATAATTAGAATGTTTTTATAGATACCCGGTTAGTGATTATCATGCAATGATGTCAAATTTGATTGCAGAGTTTTCCCACTAACCCTTTAATATCAGGGAAAACATACAGTATTTATGTTTCTAGGCCACTGTTAAAACAAATCAGTGTATGATTTCCATCTGATTTCAGGGAACACTATATAACATATCATTGTTGAATAAATAAAATATATATGCAATCTCTCTGCTGTAGAAATGAATGACTACTAGCCTGTAATTTGACTGTGCTGCAGTGCGTCAGCAACTGAAAATGCTAAATATGTCCAGGGATTGATTAAGAACTGCTGGGTCCCTGGGTGCACACAGTCATTAGGGCCCCATTATTAAATAGTTTGCTACTAAAATAGCAATCCTAATCTATAGGAATGAAATGTCTTTAATTTGTCAATGAAATTCTATTCCCTGGTAACTCTGCTTGGTCTGGCTGCCTGCTAGCACAGGTATATAGCTGGAGTCTTTAATATGCTGTTTGTTTACTGTCCGTTAATATATCCTTAGTATATGATAAATGAAAACAGGACAATTTCTTGTTTTCTGAGCTGAGAATAAAATGACGATCGAACAACCATCCAACATTCAAAAGGGTTGCTGAATAAATGTAAACTCCGTCATTAATGATGTCATTAGTCCTGCAATCTGAGTCTGTATTATTGCAAACATGCTCTTCAATTCTCTTAGTACATGGCACAATAAAAAATGAAATTATGTTTACTCACCAGTTATGCGAATGGATTCAAGCATTTTGTTTCCTTGTCTTTTATGCCTTGTTAGAAATGGGAGAATTTAAATCCCTTGGTTAGTGAAACATTTAACAGAAAACCAACACCTTATTTATCCAGAGAGTTGGTCAATGAATGTGGTGCAGCAGATTGGAGTAACTGCTGTGTCTGTAAAGTAATGGACAGACAGAAATAGTCTGACATTCAGCCTCTGGCTATTGTTCTTGTCACAGTAACAACACTAGCAGTTTCATGCTGGAGCGGTGTAAGCTCTACCTTGGTCTCTATAGCAACTGCTAGTTGTACGTCACACAGCAAATGAATGGGAATTCATTCTTCAGCTTTAGGTTTAGAAGCAACACATAAAACATATATCAAGTATGTTCACTAGCTGTATCCCAGGAAACATTTTCATATTAAGTGTTGCTCTTTCCATATAATTAAACTAAAATTAAACCCAAAGCGATCCTTTGTGTGCAGCAAATGGTGCTCCAGTTCAGGGCCACATTGTATGTACAGATAATTGGGTAAAGAAATTAGTGTTTTTCCAGAGCTGGCGTCAGGGCTGGCCTTAGGTGTTCAGGCGCCCTGTGAGAGCTAATCTTGTGGCGCCCCCCGCTGCCCCCTGGTCACCTAAACATGCACAAAGAGGAAAACAATCTTTGTAACAAATAGATTTTTAATTACAGATCATTTAAGTGCAAGGGCAAACAAGTACGATAATAAAGAACTGGATTGACTGGTAACAATAGTGTATAGTAAATACATTAAATACAGAAAAAAACATTGGCTTTTAGAGATAATATATGTACAAATGCAATAATAACTGGGAACACTGGTAAACAAAATATACACCTCCTGACAAGTTATATTAATTTGAAGCTCAAAATACGTGCTTTTGTCTTTGCAAACTCATCAATCACGTTGTTCATGTCCAACATCTTCAATACATCGTTTTCAATTGATAATACTGATAAAGAGGTTATTCTGTCATCAGTCATTGATGATCTCAGATATGTTTTAATGAGTTTTAACTTGGAAAAGCTGCGTTCTCCTGATGCCATAGAAACAGGAATTTTATTAAAGGACACGGAGGCTCATATTATGCTTATCTCTTTCTTTATTATACCTCAGCAGCAAAGAGAAGGTATAAACATTCATAGAAAAAAGTTTTAACAGGTTCTCCAAGGGTTAACCCAACATCATACCCTTAACCAATAGGAACAGTCCCTCTATCTATAACTATTCATGTGACCTTTCCTCTTCCTCTTTCTTTGCTGCTGCCTCAGCTAAGTACCATCTAATTTTAGCTCTCCTCAGAGCACCCTTTTGAATTTATATTGTATTTGTTTGTTTCTGTGTCTTTAATATTTTTATGTGATAGGTTTGTGTGGGTTAATTAGCCGGTTCTTGGAGCCGGCGCCTGTCTGCCTTTAGGGCAGATAGACGTTTTTCACTGGGGTTCCTTCCCCCCCCCCTGCGGCGGTTACCCCCTCCCACACCCTACCGGGTAGTTTATTACCCGTTCTTTGTTGCCCTCTGGGAGCTGAGGCGGCCGTTTCGCGGCGCGAGCGCTCTGAATCCAGAGCCCGCTCGCACATGCGCTATAACGGCCGCTCGGCACTGCGGCCATTTACAGTAAGCCGGCCGGGTTTTGCCGCGCTTTTCTCTCCGCCGCCCTGTACCAGAGGGCGGGCGTTCTCTGATTGGCCAGCTGCATTGGCTGGCAGCTTACCAGTGCTCCCTGGCGACCATTCCAGGGGGAACACTTGGTAAGCTGACAGCCTTTGTTTGTGCCTGCATCCTCCACCTGCACTGTTCTCAGAGCCCACTGCCCACAGTTTGGTTTACTGTTAGCCCCTGCACAGGGTCACTAGGGGCATTTTTTCCTCTCACATATTGGTGCCAGTCTGGTACAAATTTCTTTGTGTCACTTGGTATCCCAGCCAGTTAGGTGTCACTGCTCCCACACCTTTTGCTACAACCTACCTGTCATGCAACACCTTAGGGACCTCGGGGTTGCCACCCCCACTGATAACAGTACAGACACCATTCATCACGTGCCACAGATACCACGTCCATGCTCGCCACTGCGAGAAGACGTGGCATCCATGGATCAGTTAAACTCGGAGGAGTTTCACTCACTCCTGGATGCAACCATGACCAAGTCGGTCACCCAAGCTATAGTCACAGCTATGGGGGCGATGTCTGAGACCCTGACACAATCCATTAGTAATGCCATACTGGCGTCTAACAGCCATACCAGCGGCCCCCGCCCCATGGCCCAGCCTGACAAACCTGTGCCCCCCAGCGGCCGTAAGGCTACGCAGAAGACCCACCATATGGGCAAACACACCTCCAAAAACAGCACGACGGACAGGATACGCCCTGTCACTACTGAGGACGTGGGGCCCCCACGCAAAAGAGCCACCCACCGGGCAAAAGCGGTGAGGACATGGAGATGGGCAAAAGCCCAGACAGAGACATCCGACTCTGGTTCGGACATAGAGGAGGTAATGAGTGAGTCCGAGGAACTCGGCTCGTTGGAATCAGGGAACTCTTCCCCTGAGCGCAGCCTGGCAGTCATACCAGCTAAGGGAAAAGCGCCCGCGGATGATTCCACCATCCTAGACCCCCAGGGCGAGCCCCTATTCAACCCTGACGACCTGCAGCACCCCAGGTCCACAGACTGGTTCCCAGCTGACCATGTGGCCCAATATATTGCGGCCAGAATAAGGAAGCCCCTGGATAAAACAACCAGGAATAAGTTAAGGGCAGAGTGCCCACGCCCGACGGTCCCTGATATGGCGTGCGCCACGCCAGAGGTGGACCCCAAGATTGCCCAGTTCCTGGGTAAGGCTGGCTGGAAAGCCAAAAAAGGGCTAGACTACTCCCTGCGCCACTGCCAGGATAAGGTGCTCGACTCCTTGGGCCCTAGCGCAAAGATCTTCGACTTGGTCGAAGAGACAATCTCAGGTGGCGCACCACTAGACCCCTTAGTGATCCGAGAGTGGGCACAACGCTCTATCTGCCTCATCGGCAACTCAAATGCCGCACTTAGTACTGAGAGGCGGAAGGCAATTCTCATGAAAATAGACCCCAAACTGGTCAACATGGCCATAACCGAGCCTGGACCCCAGGCAAAAGGCCTCCTTTTCGGAGATAATTTTGTAAAGGAGCTGGGCACCTACGTGAGCACATTTACAGCCCTGGATAAGGCACAAACAAACCTAAAACGGGTGTTCTCCCTGAAGGTTTTTGGAGGGGCTGGCAGGTACAGGGGCCGCCTGTCCAGCCGCCCACCACGGAGCTCCCACCGGGGCTACCGGGGCCCCACGACACCAAGAGTCCCACAGGCGGAGACCAGAACCCCCGCACCTTTCTTCCCGGTCAGGGGCAGATCATGGCAGCCCAGAGGTCACAGGGGTGCCACATACGGCCGACGACCTTATGGTAAGTGCTTTTCCTTTTCCCCTCTCTCATACCTCGCACGTAGGGGGCAGACTTTCCAAATTTATCGGGGCATGGCACAGACTCACGTCCGATGCCTGGATTCTCGACACAGTAGCGGGGTACCATATAGAATTCGTCACACACCCAATCCAATCCACAATGCCACGGCGGATGGTGTTCGCCCCTCAGGACAGGGAACTGGTGTCGAAAGAAATCATAGCTCTGGCGGAGAAGGGTGCGATCTATCAGGTCGCGCCCCACTCCCCAGGGTTCGTAAGCAATCTGTTCCTGGTCCCCAAGAAAGGCGGTGGGGTAAGACCGGTGATCAATCTTCGCCCACTCAATACATTTGTACGATACCACCACTTCAAAATGGAAGGGATTCATTGCCTGCGAGATCTTCTCAGGCTGGGGGATTGGATGGTAAAATTAGACCTCCAAGATGCATATCTCACCATCCCCATTGCAAAGGAGTGTCAGCATCTCCTACAATTCAGTTGGGACTCCCAGACCTGGAGGTTTCAGTGCCTTCCGTTCGGCCTATCGTCAGCACCATGGTGCTTTACAAAACTGCTGAAGCCAGTGGTTGCGCTACTGCGCAGCAGGGGCGTCCGCATGATCATATATCTGGACGATATGCTGATCATGGCCCAAGACACCCTACTGCTACTACAACATTTAGATTGGACAGTAACTTTACTACAGAACCTGGGATTCCTAATCAATTGGGAGAAGTCGGTACTAACCCCCTCCCAGTCCTTAGAATTCCTAGGGTTCGAAATAGGGTCGGTCTTAGGGACCCTAAGCCTGCCACCCACAAAGATGAAAATCATCAAGAAGGAGATCCGCAGAACATTGGCTCGACCAACACTTACGGTCAGACAACTAGCCAGGATAATTGGACTCCTCTCCGCTTCCATACAAGCGATCTTCCCAGGGCCTTTACACTACAGGGCCCTACAGCGACTAAAAGCCGCACAACTGCGCTCAGGACACTCCTACTCAGACTCTGTGCCACTCGATCACACAGCCAAGGAGGAGCTCAGGTGGTGGCTGCAGCACATGGAAGCGTGGAACGGCAGAGCAATCTTCGGCAACAACCCAGATTGCGTAATAGAATCAGATGCCAGCACACGGGCCTGGGAGCGCGCTGTGGACATACCTCCACGGGCGGAAAATGGTCCCAAGCAGAAAGGACACTACATATCAACTGCCTGGAATTAATGGCGGGTTCGTTTGCACTGAAGAGCCTCCTAGGTCCCGCAACACATTGCTCCATCATCCTGAGAATGGACAACGTCTCAGCCGTCCAATACATCAACCGCCTCGGCGGCACCAAGTCCAAAATTTTAGCAGATTTAGCCACAGAATTTTGGCAGTTTTGCTTAGAACGCAGCATCACAGTACGAGCCGAATACATCCCGGGACTTTCGAACACCGTAGCAGATTGGAACTCCAGACATCTGCGGGATACCAGCGATTGGTGCCTGAACCGAGAGACGTTCCTACGATTACACACTCTATGGGGTCCGATATATATAGACCTGTTTGCGTCTCGGTTGAATACACAACTCCCGGAATTCTTCAGCTGGAGACCGGACCCAGACGCGTTAGCTACGGACGCATTCCTACAACCATGGCCGAACAAACGATTATACGCGTTCCCACCGTTCGCCCTACTGGCACGAACGCTAGTGCACCTCGACCGCACACGGACGTCCCTAGTCCTCATAGCTCCATTCTGGACTGCACAGCCTTGGTTCCCTTTACTCATGGAGATGTCCATAGATCTCCCCAGACTGCTGCCCGAGGATCCACATCTC